ATAGTAGCCTATGTATAATACCAACCCATCTCCCCCCACCCCCCCCCCCCCCCCCCAGATATATTTATAATGTACATACAACAGGTACACCGCGCGTTGCTGCTGCTGGTGGTGCTCTCAGCCGTCAAAGAGTTAAGAAGTTCACGTCGACTCATCACGCACGCAACGATGTGTAATACAGCAGTGTGGTGGTGGGGTGAGGGTGGGGGGAGTGGTGGTGGGGGGTCGTGGTGGTGGTGGTGGAGGGGTTTAAGAATCGCGGGACAGACACGGCCTCGTGCTGTCTCGTTGCCGCGAAGGAGCCTTTACACCATCAAAATCGGGGTTCCCCGAGACGATTTTCATCCGCCGCTACCGAGCATCATAGCCGCACTAATCGGATACTAGAGGGTGGGGGGTAGTAATTCCGAACTCGATGCAACGCCACAGTGTTGCGTTTCGATGTTGTTTTTTTTAGCGCGCTCGGTAAATTCCGTTGACCGCACACAAAACAAAACAAAAATAAACAGATCTTGTACGGGACAGAAGTGAATGTACGACCCGTCGAAGCCAATCACAAGATCATATTTGTCCCTGGAATCATCATCATCATTATTACTGCGCTATTCCGTACAGTTCTGACAACGTTCAAACTGTTCGGGAACGCGCGGGTGACGTCCGCTGAACTTCTTTCGCACCGTGCGTAGCCACGACCGTGCTCATCGGAGGCGCCGCCTCTGGGTGATGAAGCAACGCTTGGAGCGATCAATTCGTTGACGTTTCAAAGCTTAGCGGCGGGATCGTAATCCGGGGAGATGGAGCCATATATCAACAACAACAACAGCAACAACATCAACAACAACAACCCCGGTTCGTGTGCTCAAGGGATCATCGCACCGCAGGATCGCAGGGGCACGTACGTCGGCTCGTGTGAGTCAATGGATCTAGCAGTGGATTGAGCATGGCTGATGCAGACTAGAGAAGACTGTCCCGAGTTTTAGAGAGTGTGCCCCCTCTAGTAACGGATCAGAGCGGCAAGGATGCTTCAAATTCCGACAAGCATCACCCCCCCCCCCTCCCCCACTATATCTATGTGTGTATATGTGTGTGTGTATACTTGCACATCCCCATACTTCACCATCTGCAGTGAACGTGGGAAGTGTTCTTCGGAGCACTGTGGCAGTGGGAGAGCTTGAACCCCCAAAAAAGCAACAATACCCCGGTTTACGTCGGGGGATGCGTTCCCGAAAGGCGTGACGACGAACGTCGAAACGACGTAAATCCAAAGCGAGTTACGGGGTGGTGGTGGGTGGTGGGCGGTGGTGGTGGAGGCTGCGGGGCGACTGATAACGAGAACGAACGAACGGACGACGATGCTGCTGCTGCTGATGTTGTCAAGCGACGTAAGCGTGGGGTTGAGGCGACCCAATTCGGTTTAGCGGTGTTCGTAATAAAAGCGACGACGTATTTGCAAAAACGACGCTAAAGGGGGGTTGGGTGGGTGGGGGAGAGACGTTAATCGGGGTATGGCTGTCCCTTGATAGTGGCTTTAAACCGAGATTCTGCTATAGCGTACAGCGGTGCCACTCGATCTACCTATGCGCGTGTACCCGTCTAGACGTCCAGCCGTCGTCAACCCGCGCTCACCAGCGTGGGTGCGCTACGGATTTACAAAACAAATTTTTAAAAGGGCTCTGCGTTGTCCGTATTAGACAAGGGGGTTATTACGTTGCAAATAACGAGTGAACCATATTTTATCACTGGCCAAAATGATATATTTTTTTTGTACTGCGTGTATAATCTTGCCGTTGAAATGGACAGCGATGAGTAAATAACTCGTGTCCTCAGATGTTTTGGTCATCACTAGCATATGAACACACACACGTGTGTGTTCATATGCTAAACCACACACGTGTGAACACACACGTGTGTGTGTACGAACACACACACGTGTGTGTTCGTACAGACGTACACATTGACCCCACCGCTGACGTCAGCTGCACGTGTATGCGCGTGTGTGTATTTGTCTACGTGTGTGTGTGTGTGCATCTGTCGGTCATCTCAGTCAGTCAACCCAATATCACCCGGGTCTCGGTCCCGTGACCTCCTGCCGGCGAGCCTTCGACATGTCACGTGACCTCAGAGTGCACCTAACCTGGCACAAAGCGCCGTTGTGACGTCATCGCCACTTAGTGCCGAATGGAGGCTGTTGTGTGCGTGTGTGTGTGTCGGGAAATACGCTACTTCAACACGCCCTCCATTGAGCGTGTCTTGTACGTACGTTGAACTTCTTTCGCACCGTACGCAGCCAACCGTGCTAAATCGGAGGTGCTGATTTAAAGCAATCACATTGTCCATAAAGTTCGCCCGGCCTCCGAAGCTTTGACGAGGAGTTGCTGCGTCCAGTCAAATCAACAGAGAAACATCAACATGTTGGTTTTTTACACGAACGCTCCATATCACTCTACTATCGCTACTACCACGGTTTCCGTTTTCCGTGACCCTCACCCACTGGTAACCTTCACCGAAATCGAGTGAAGGACCTGCCGGACTGAGGCTCACCCGCGCTAAACATGCGCCTAGACTCTTTAGAGTATTTGGCCGCTATAAAATGTTCCACATGACGAGCCACTTCCTCGAGCGCATCGTCTGTGCTCAGGTCGCCTCTGAAGAAGAAGAAGAAGCGAAGAGCTCAGCGAGCTGTCCCTGCTGAAGTAAAATAGTTTATTATGTACTTTGTTTCGTGATTTGTTTACCTTTCCTGTACGCCGCACTCCTATCGTGCCTCTGTATTTCTTTGTTGTTGTAACGTTCTGACCCCATGACCCCCTACTGGACATTTGTGAAAAACAGAACTCATCTTCTTGGTTCTTTCGGTAAAGTCACGTAGAAGGGAAATAATAATGAAGTAATAAAAATAAAACATAATAAAATATTTTATTTTATTTTTTATTTGATCATGTTTTATTTTTATTATTTCCCTTCTACGTGACTTTACCGAAAGAACCAAGAAGATGAATCCATGCAGTCACGAAAGCTTTAAATAAAAAACAGAGCTGTGTAGCCCATTGGATCCCTCCTGCAGTATGAACACATCTCTCTGATTCTGATTCCGTTCCTCAAACGCCACCACGACCACTGCAGGTCACGCAACTCCCTCCGCTACTGCCGCGACTTTGGAATTCTCCATCTCTTTTTTTTATTCGGCAAAGATCGTCTAAACCACAACCTTGCTCGATTCAAGAAGCACACTCATTTGTTATTTCTTTTAAATATACGTATACATACGTCCACCTTTTGATCGCAGTTGCTGTTTGTTTTGTTTGCGCTATTTGTGCCCCTGCTGTTCAGAAACTGTTCTCATAAGGAGAAGACAACAACAACAAACTTCACTTCTCGACCACTCTTCTACATCAAAGGAGACAAGGTTTCAGTAGTGACCGATCTTACCCATAGCCGGGCATCTGGCTAAACGGGGTTCATCCCTGTAACAAAACGCAGCAGCAACAACAACAACAACAACAAAAAACCAACAACATCTCTGGTGAGTTTCTGGGGAAGGGGACTCGTGTGTTTTAAGAACCACGTGGTTATTTGCTGACGAGAGACTTGGTGACTTTTGAACCGGTCTGGGGTCACGCGGGGTGGAGGATTTGGGGGAGACATCTCTCCATTATAGTCGTGAAAATAATGCCCAGCGTTCTCCTGCGTCTCTCAGCTCGCAAGCAAGGGTCCACATTGCTCTAACAAATCACACGTACTCTATATATATTTTGGTTTTTAAGGCAGTGCCGCAACAGATAAACCAGTGGCTGCACATTTCGCCCCCCACGTTGCGAGCGTAGTACGTCCACAAGCCAAATGTAAAAGGTCACCTGCGTTCGCTTGTCTCACCACCGCTTGCATTAAGCGGTAATCAGCTGTGCTGTGGTTGTCGTTGCTATTATTTAATTGTAAGTACATATATATATACATGCGGTACTCTGGGAACTCCGCGGCGAAACGAGTACGATTCCTGGGCCACGTTATAACGCCAGTGGACGAGTGGTAGCTGAACCGGTCACAAGGCCTCCGCCTCCTCCGCTCCCTCTCCAATCAACACTGACAATTAACGGGGAAGTATGGTCGAAGAACACCCCCCCACCCCCATTATCAACATGGGGGTGTTGTTAATAGCAGGGCCAGGTAGGGGACTACTCAGCAGTAGAGCGAGTGACTCTCAATCAGAAGGTTGCGAGTGTGAGATGGTGGGTGTGGTTCAACTCATCATCCATGCAGGGGGGGGGGGGTCGATAAAATAGGGACCATATTGTGTGGACGTCAACCGTGGTTGCGGCGTGGATAGACTCGGCTCCCCACGCCGTACGAATGTGGAACTTCCACCGTCGACTCTGCAGGGGGGGGCTGCAAACGGGGAGGCCAACACCGGTGCCTCAACGCTCGTTTCCGAGCTGAGGAGCAACCCCGCGTGCGCTTTACTCGCACGAGGGAGAAGGACGGCTCACGGAAACGCCGTCGAGGGTGGCAGAGTCGGTGACGCCCGAAATTGGAATCGTCGGGCGGAGGGAACGGACCGGATCCCTCTTGAATCGCAGGGATTACTCCCCCAACCCCCCCCCCCGCCGCCCACATTTGTGTGCGTGAGCAGAAAAGATTGCGGTCATGCCCAAGGAGGCGTGTGTATCGCCGGTGAGTTGTTATTTTTGTGAAAACAAAAAAAAAGAGTTTGGCACGTGCACTTAGACGAGCACAGGACATACGTACACGACAATGTGCACTCATATACGCGCGCGTGTGTCTGTGTGTCTGTGTGTGTTTTCAGTGTGTGGGGAGCGGTAGTGTAGCGGTTAGCGCTACGCTGCGCGATGAACCTGGCGACCTGAGTTCAATTCCTGCTCACGGCCAACACCGGTGACGATTATCTAAACTGGTCCTGGGCCTCCCCTAGGTCGACTCATCCTCAAATGAGTACCTGATGCGGTGTGTAAACATCGCCACTGGGGAGACAAAGGCGGCCGGGCGTGGTGCTGGCCACCCACCCCCTCGTGTGCTGTGCCGGCCTTCATAGGTGCTCGCTAACAGCACTTGCCCCAACAGTCTTGTTACAGGCTATACGGGTGATCTTTGTTTTTTGCCGTAAATACAGTATGCCTATGATAAGTACACGTGCATATTACGCACGTGTGTACCACGTGTGTACCACGTGTGTTCGTTTGTGCGCGCGCGCATGATGGGGAGCGGTAGTTCCGTGGTTAGCGCAGCGCTGCGAAACGAGGTGGAATGCGAGTTCGATTCCCGCTCATGGCCAAAATCGGTGACGAAAATCCTAAACCCGTGCTGGGACTCCTCTAGGTCGACTCAGCTTTAAACGACTACCTGGTGCGGTGTATAAACATCAGAATTGGAGAGGGGGGGCGGAGTGGGGGGAGACAAAGGCGGCCGGGCGTGGCGCTGTTCACCCACCACCTCGTGCGCCGGTGTTGGCGTTCACACTTGCCCTTTAAATGCACTTGCCCCAATAGCCCGTGTAGCCTATACGGGGGGGCTCGGGCCTTTGCATGCGTCCATGTGTGTGTGTGCGCGCGTGTTCGCGTGTGTATTCACGCAAGCGTGCGTGTGCGTTGTGATACATTTATAGCCCATTATTATGTTCAGATCCACCGGCCCATGACCGCGACCGGACGTCTCTCGCCTCTCTGCGACGCCTCGTGAAGAGGACACGGGCGTGACCGACAGAGATCGCCGGCGCGACGAGTTTGGCGACGCTGCTGCTGCATTGGCAGCGGCGCACAAGCACAAACGACGACGACGACAACAACAACAACAAATTCGTCAATGACACTGCGTGTGGCGGCCTTAAGAGTAAACACACACGTACGTAAATAGAACAGCCGATGTTTGGGGCCGAGGCACCCCGAAGTACCAATATCAGAAACGTCGCCTGCTTACTATACGTCTAAGGCCACAGTGTTATTGACGCAATACAAAGATCGCCGGATGGGTAGGCGGGTAAGCGGGTGGCGTGGCCACAAATACCTAGACGCAACAGACATAACGCAACCCACGCAGCACAGGTGCACCACACAGGTTCGGCACACGTGACAGCCACAGTTTTGCGATGTCCTGTTCCCGGGGGCCCATCCGAATCTACTCGCTGTCAGTCTTATCGGAGCGCGACCTCTCGCCCGCGTGGTTGTAGAGGCCCTGCGCCATCAGCTGCAGGGCCAGCGGGTTTCGCACTCCGCTCGCCTTCTTCAGCTTGGCGCGCTTGTTCTGGAACCAGATCTTGATCTGTGCCTCGTTCAGCTGCAGTTCCTGGGCGAGGGCCTGGCGTCGCGCCTCGGTCAGGTAGCGAGACGCCTGGAATTCGCACTTGAGACGAGAGAGTTGCTCGGCCGAGAATGCGGTCCGTGGTCGCTTCTCTTCTCCTCCCGAGCCTCCGCCGCCTCCTCCTGCTGCTGCTGCTCCACCCGAACCTCCTCCTGTCCCTCCACCTCCTCCGCCTCCTCCTTTCTTCTTGGCTTTGCGGTTGCGAGGTCCTGCGTGAGAGTTTGGGAAGAAGGAGGCGTGGGGGGGGGGGTAGTGCAGTGGTGAGCAGGCTGCGATAAAAAAAAAACGGACCCGCACACCGCCAACACCGGCGAGGGATGTCTGAACCGGTCCTGGGCCTCCCCTAGGTCGACTCAGCCTCAAACGAGTAGTACCTGGTGCGGTGTGTGCTGGAAGCATTCACGGGAGACAACGGGAGTGGTTGCTGGCCGCCCAACTTCCTCGTGCGCTATACCGCGCCGGCCTTCATTGGCGCCACTCGCTAACATCACTTGCCCCCAACGATCTGTTAGAGGCTACACGGGGGATCTTTGTCTTTCGCGGGGTGTTTTCGTGCGCGGTGCGCGTCAGCCGCGTGCTGGGAAGGATGGGTGGGATGGGTGCTTGGGCTGCTCCTGGCGATGGAGAGGTGGGGGTGGGGTTCTGGCAGTGGTGGTGGTGCTGATTGTTGTGGGCCGTGCGGGTTGGTTATTGTCAATGGGGGGGGGGGGGGGTGCGGGGGAGGTTGAAGAGTTGGTGGGTGGGTACCGTGGGGCGGGAGCACCAGGGGGGGCACCGGGGGGGGGGCATTGTTGACAAGTCGGGAGTAATGAAGGAGGGGGATAGGGTAAGTGATACGAACACGGGAAGCGAGTTTTACAACAAACCAAGTGGAATTGAGCATTGTGTATTGCACAAATAAATAATATCATGTTTATTTTTTATTACAGTGGGATGGGGGTTGCGTATTATAATGGGCTATGTGTGTGTGTGCCCAGATTTGATTAGGGAGATTTTATTTACACCGGAAACGTGTTCCGGGCTCGTCTTAATTTTCCAGTCCTCCTCATCGTAATCCGGAGAATGCGGTAATCAACAGCTCCGAGTCACTCCGATGCTGGACGAAGGCCTCCACACGCCGTGTCGGTTATGGAAGGCGATTGGCCGTACTGTGGTTGATCACGCTGGTCGGTGCGGTTTAGTGAACTCCGCTTTGTCAGATTATATAGCGCAGTGCTGCTAATCACTGCGCCACCCTTCCATCCATCCCGAGTTCTTGCTTGCTGTAGAATAATGTATACGGCGCGAGAGATGATCCCAGATTAATGCGGGCAATAACGCATCGTGCGGTTATTTTGTAGGGCATTATGCAACGCTTTGAACAGGTGAATTCGCGTGCTCACTCTTTCTAAATAAACCCTGCAGATAAGCTGTCTATACACAGACATTGAGTTATATTAACTTTTGCGTCGTTCGCATCGTCACCATAAACCGCATTCACGATGACAACTTCAAGAGTGCCGTTTGTTGCTGGCCGCTTCGCGTTTGTCGACACCCGAGCCAGTGCTTAAAAAAAATGTGATTTCAACTAAATACACAAATAGAAATCCACGCCGTTGCCAGTCCACTGCCGGTCACCTGATTTTGTTTTTAAATCGACAGGGCTCTCGAAGCCTACTTGGTACGGTTGATGGGTTGGAGCCACCCCACCACGGCTTGCCAGGTTGTTGCAGTCGCGGGGCTACGTGCCGGGTGTCGTCTCTCCCTCGTGCGCAACGCGCGCGCGGGGTTTTGTTCTGCGGGAGCTCTCACGGTTTTGTTTGTCCTACTTCTCTCGCACGAAGCCAAACTCTCGTTCAAGTAATGGGCCAAGGACATCCAAAATTGTGGCAGGGACCCTCGTGAAAAGATGGTCCCAAAAAAAAAAGAGACTGGGAGACTCCGGGCCAACGTTTTTTTTTGTTCCACAATCGTAACGTTTCGTTAGAGATTGTTATTCTTTCATGTGCTGCTGTCATGTCTTGGAATTCTAACCCCCCCCCCCCCCCCACAGCCACCAGCGATATCAACTCCCTGCCTCCCTGTTCAAGGCCTACCTCTCCCCCCTCTGCCTATGACTCTCAATCCCATGTCATCTGACACTCTCTTTTCTCTCTCCTCTCCTATGACTCTCTCTCTCTCTCCACGAGCCATAAGAGGAGGGGGGGGGGGGAGTTCGTCTTTAAACCCTCCACCACCCGACACACAGCCAGTTAGTAAAGTTGTGTCACGTAAACAGAGAGCGCCGATTGGTCACTAGTTCAGCACGCCGGTGTGTTGGAGAATCAACCCACGACGTTTACGATTCGAGCGCCGTGAAGTTTCGTGCTTAATTACAACCAGAATAATCAAACGACAGCTGTAATTGTGGAGAAATCCTCCACTGTCGGTGCGCTGAACTAATTAGAATGCTTTGTTTACGTCAGGATATGTCCGGTGGTGGCGGGTTTAACGAGACATTTATATTGACGTGAATAATATTGGTCGCGAAAGCCCGCTTCGTGTTAAACTCTGTCCACTAAAATACACCATATATATAAACCATATATACAAAGACAAAGATCCCCGGTATAGCCTTAACATACTCTTGGGGCAAGTGCTGTTAGCGAGCACCCAATGAAGGTCGGCACGGCACACGAAGGGGTGGGTGGCCAGCACCACGCCCGACCGCCTTTGTATCCCAAGTGGCGATGTTTACACATCACACCAGGTACTCATTTGAGGCTGAGTCGCCCCAGGGGAGGCCCAGGACCGGTTCAGATAATCGTCACTGGGTGTTGGCCGTGAGCTTGAATCGAACCCGGGTCGCCAGGTTCATTGCGCAGCGTAGCGCTAACCGCTGCACCACCGCTCCCCCTGTTCAGTGCCAACGTCTTTAGACGGCGGTTGCCGGAATTTACGTACGAAGTTCAAATATTGAACGTGCGTGCTTTATATTTTATTACTTCTTTACCAATGACTTGCTGAACTTTTCTCTAACTTACTCCTGTGTCCTCTATTGGTTTGTGTTTGTTGTTGTTGTAACGTGTGGATGCAACTTGCCCACCAACCTGTCCCTGCTGTAAGAATCTGTGACAAAACCAAAAAAAACCTTCACATCTCCATGACTTTAGGTGTGTTGTCCTTCCCCCAGGACCCCCGATTAGCACGGTCGGCTGCGTACGGTGCGAAAGAAGTTCAACATACAGAGATACATCACATTCCCTTCTCCGGGATGAATTAAAAAAAAAAAACCCCATCTAATTCTAAGTTGCAGTGTTATTTCCTGACAGTGGCGGATGGCCATTCAGCGTGTGTAGGCGGTGCAACTGCGTAGGGACTCGCGAATCCGCGGGGGTGGGGGGGGGGGGGGTGGAGGGTTGGGGGGGTGGGGCTTGAGGGAGGGGGGGGGTGCGGGGGGATTTCCCCAACCCGAAGTGGAGGGCTGAGTTTGTGGGGCAGGTCGCTAACCGCTCCGCCACCGCTCTCCAACCGCAATACGCACTCGAGTCAAAAGTGCTGCAGACATGATGATCCCCAATTCTTATTTCTACTCGGTCGCCGTGACTAAGACGCGTTTTGTCCAACACGACCGTAAACGACACGTAAAGTACACAGTACTCCCGAGCACGCATTAATACAACTAATAATCGATACTAACTTTTTCTATACACGTGCCTTTAAAAAAACAGTGCTTTCGTGTCACCATCAATCCGCTGCTGGATGAAGGCCTCGTTCCCCACGCTGGTCAGTGCGGGGATGGTGAAGCTTTGGGGGGGGGGGGTGGGTGGGGGGTCATGGCAGGCTGTGTATGATTTGACACCGCATTCGCCACGAAGGGAACCGCATGGCCATGCTCGGACGCAATCGTTCTGGAAACTGCCACGTGCCACACGTTGCGTCTGGGCTCTCTTCTTTGCTCTTCGATACCCCCTCCGCCGCCCGCGCAACGTGTACTGTCGCTTGCTCGGTATAGACTGTCTGAGTTCAGCATCAACACCGAAGGCCAGGGATATGCTGCGCTACGAACCCATCGACCCCCCCCCCCCTTCTCCCCACACACACACCCTGAGTTCGATTCCAGCTCACGGCCAACACCAGTGACGATTTTATGAACCGGTCCTGGGCCTCTCCCAGGTCGACTCGGCGTCAAATTCCTCCTTGACCAACAATATCCAACTTGGGATCGGGACAAGGGTTTGTGGATGTTCTTCTTATTCGTAAGAATGCAATTGGCAACGCGCGCAAATTTTGCGGACGGAACGGCCGCAACTCAGTGAATGAAAAAAAGCAAAAAACACTTCTTTTTTTTACTAAAGTAAACATCGCCACTGGGGAGACAAAGGCGGGCGGGCGTGGTTGCTGGCCACCCACCCTCGTCGCGTTCCGTGCCGGCCTTCACAGGTACTACTCGCGAACAGCACTTGCCCCAACAATCTGTTAAGGCTATGGGTGGGTGGGGGATCTTAGTATTTGTGGGGGAAACCTCGCTCATCACACGCCATACACGCGCGCGCGTGTGCGTGCGCGTGATGCACACTGGAGTAGTGCAGCAGACGTGCCACTGACTAATGACTCCGTTTTGCCCGTCAGTAGCACTGCGTGGCCTTAAAAGGATAAATATATATTTTAGATACGATATGTGACGTTTGGCGCAACGGCTCCTTCTTCATTCACTTGCCATGGAGAAGGATCAATGCCCGAAACGTCGCCTATTATACGGTATTATTGTCGTCGAGTTGAGTGTTGTTGTTCATGCGTGTACACCGCTGCTAACGCAGCAGCAGCTACCAACAATATTGTGTTCATATATTGCACGTGCATTGGTGCGTCCAAAGCGTCGTTGTGGACAATCTATAATATACTGTGTAACATAATATACGTTGCGGCATTTTTTTACATTTCATAGTTTTGTGTCGAATTGTAGGACCCATGATGTATCAGACAGAATCAATAATGCCCGTTCACATCTGGAAGTTCGCTGTGCATAGTTAGTTCAAGAAAAGACTGACTCGGGTGATGAGACGCTGAATGGACATATCGCTCCAGAGTTGTGTTTGCGTTCAACCAATACTGCTGAAAAAAAACACGTGTGGCTGATTGGATGCGTTATAAAAAAAAACTTTCCGTGAAAGGACAGAGTTGGAGAAGGAGGCATAGTGTCTGCTCGGACGGTATACATGTGTGTAGCTGTGAATAAAAATAGCTTTAT